TAAATGTGACTTGTCTTCTGCTTCTACTCCTAGATGAAAAAATTAAAGAAGTCTTTGTCAACAAGGAGAAGGTACAGAAGGACATCAAGGCTGTAGCTTCAGACAACATCTCTCTCAGTTGTGAAGTGGCCCAGGCCAAGACAGAAGTCAAATGGTTCAAGGATGGGAAATTGATCACCTCCAACAAAAAATTCAAGGTAGAAGCAGAAGACAGATCCCATCATCTGGTTGTCCAGCAGGTGGAGAAGAAAGATGCAGGTGAATACACCTGTGAAGCAGATGGCCAGATGCTGAACTTCCAAGTAACCGTAACAGGTAGGGGAAAAAATCCTTAGTCTTTTCCTTCATCATTGGATTGCAAATCTTTCTATGATGACAGAAATTAATAGATACTTTGATATTTTGATCTATGCTTCTGGGTCCAATTGAAGGTGCTGGCTGTCTCCTTCAAAACCTACATGGCTTAAAGCCAGGTTATCTGAATGACCATATTTTCCCAGTGACATCTACCAGACATCAACCACCAGAGCAGGGAGGCAGGGGAAATTATAGGTCCTCTCTCTTAAGAAGGTCCATCTAGTGGGACCCAGGCCTTCTCCATGATGGCTCCCTCCCTGTTATTTGAAGGGCCATCTTTATTCACTTTTATTTACCTGACCCACCAGAGCAAGGAGACAGGAGACAACTTGCAGAGATAAGATTGGCCACCACCTTGAGCATCTTCTGAAAGGCATTTAAGACATGGTTTGGCCAATGGGCCTATGGGAATCTCAGGATGATGTGGTTGGTTTGATTGTTGTCACCAGAAGGGTGGAGGTTTATTGATTTCTGTACTGGGCTTACATGAGTGGTGGACCACATACAATTAAAAAATTAAAAATTAAATCAACCATTATTTGGCAACTCCATGTCCACCAATTGTTCCTTCCTGGATCTGGCCAACATATCTTGAAATGATTCAGATTCGGATCCGCTTGTTTGCTATGTCCTGCAATGAGAAAATGAAGTTTATTTCTCCAGAAAAATGGTCCAGCTAGCTCCAAATCATGGATGGTTGGTTACTCAAGAGAAAATACATTGAGGTTCAAGAAAGCCACACTTAATTAGAGCAAACATTAATTATAAAGAATGTTTATAACCCGTTCTTAGGGGTTAGATAAGTTTCACCTGAGATGGAATGGGACCACGGTCCAGATATTGAAGTTACATCATCATCAGAGGAAGGTTTGGGAGGAGGAGGACTGTGGGGTTCTTGGTGCCCTCTGAGCTTGGTTATCCAACTAGGTAACATTACCAGTTCTAGAAGGGATGGGTGTTTGCAGAGAAGAATAAGGGGAGAAGAAGGAGGGAGAGTATGAGGAGGACTGTGGGGACCTTGGTACAAATTAAGAGAAGGTTGAGATATTGATTATGTGGGATACACCCTTGAGTGTTTCTGAAGAGCATATGTTTAGTAGTTAATGGAAACTATCAACTGCCATCAGAAAGAAGCAGTTAATGAAAATTTCTGCCTCTCTCCTTCCCTCATCAGATAAAGAAGTTCAGGAGATGTTTAGCAACAAGGAGAAGATCCAGAAGGACTTCAAGGCTGTGATTTCAGAGGATGTCTCTCTCAGCTGTGAGGTGGCCCATGCCAAGACAGAAGTCAAATGGTTCAAGGATGGGAAACTGATTACCTCCAACAAGAAATTCAAGATGGAAGCAGAAGGCAAATCCCGGAGTCTGATTGTTCAACAGGTGGAGAAGAAAGATGGCGGTGAATACACCTGCGAAGCTGAAGGCCAGAAGCTCACTTTCAAAGTCACTGTAACAGGTAGGAGAAGATGTTGCCTTTCATTTTATTTCTTATCCTGTTTCAGGATACAAACATAATCAGGGTGTAACCACATTAAAATGGGTTTTTTGGATTGGAGAAACTGTATCAAAAGTTTTTTTTATTGATTTCAGCCACTGTCATTTAAAAATGACTACTATATAAATTGATCTTCTTGAAACTCTGAATGTCAGAACCTCTCCATTAGGTAATTAGGAAAGAAGACCATGAGACTCCATGAATAGAAATCAAGTGTACTTTTACTAATTATAAATGATTAAAGGCATAGCGAAGCGAAGTCTGATTATTTAGGCGCGAAAGCGATTGATATATAGAATAGCCCATTCCCCACCCCTTGGCATCACAGTTACAGTCCAATCATAATTCTCCCAAGTGTCAGATGTGAGATAACTTCAAAAGGCATCACGAAGATGGAATGTCGGTGCCGTTAGTCCTGGCGGGAATCTCCTACGCATGCGTAGTCCGACAGGCAGCTGAACTCCAGAACCTTCCTCCAGCACAATGAGTAACCCCTCCCAAATACCATGCCCTCCCTCCCCGTTTCATGGCAGCCGAAGCAACAGCAAAGCAGAGGCTGACACTGAATTTTAGACGTAAAGGAAAATGCCAAATTGACCTAAAGAGAAAGTGAATTAAGAAGCTTTCTCCATTCCTTCCACCATTAGACAGAAAGGCTGAGGAGATGTTTGCCAACAAGGAGAAGGTCCAGAAGGACATTAAGGCTGTGGCCTCAGAGAATGTCTCTCTCAGCTGTGAGGTGGCCCAGGCCAAGACAGACGTCAAATGGTTCAAGGATGGAAAACTGATCACCTCCAGCAAAAAATTCAAGGTGGAAGCTGAAGGCAGATCCCGGCGTCTGGTTGTCCAACAGGTGGAGAAGAAAGATGCAGGCGAATACACCTGTGAAGCAGATGGTCAGAAACTCATCTTCAAAATTACAGTTGCAGGTACAAACACTTATATTTTCTACGTTTTCTGATACAAGAAGATAAAACGGACCTAAGAATTTTTTTTTTAGTTGATCATCTCTCAGAGGCTCCATTGGAATGTAGCCCTAGAGTTACGAGCACTATTTGGGCCAGAATTTCCATTTCCAAGGGGGTTGTTAGATCAGACATGCTCAGTTTTACACATTTTTTGCAGCCATTTGTAAGCAAATCACCACAGTTTTTAAATGAATCACGTGGTCATTAAGCAAATCCATTTTCTCCCGTTAACTTTACTGGTCAGAAGCCAGCTGGAAAGGTCACAAATGGTGATCACATGACCCCAAAGTGCTGCAACCATCACTAATAAATGCCAGTTGCCAAGAGCCTGAATTTTATTCATCTGATCGTGGTTTTGCTGCAGTAGTCATAAGTGCGAGGATCGGTTGCAAATCACTTTTTTTCAGTGATAGAATATGGTGGCTAAAAAAATGGATGTAAATCTAGGATCACCGGTAATTGGAAATCTGTTTTGACACAATGCCTCAATATTAAGGAAAAATTGAGTGGTTACTTCAATAAGTATTCTTGTTTAATCTTGTAAGCAACACTTTAATTTTTTTTTTGTTTGGTTTTTATTGGTCAAGGTTGAGAAACTGAACTGGTGTTAATCAAGAAGGCAAAAATCTACATGCAGGATGATTATTTTATAGGTGTTGGGTTGTACAGGTAGTCCTCAACTTACAACCATTCATTTACTGACTATTGAAAGTTACAACGGCACTGAAAAAGTGAATTACAACTGTTTTTCACGCTTATGGTGATTGCAGCATTCCCATGGGCACATGATCAAAATTCAGCTTTGCAACTGACCCATATTTATGAAGGTTGCAGTGTCCCAGAGTCACATGATCACTTTTTGTGAACTTCTGACAAGCAAAGTCAATGGGGAAGCCAGATTCACTTTACAACCGTGTGACTCACATAACAACTGCAATGATTTACTTAACAAAGGTCGTAAGGAAAGTCATAAAATGGGGCAAAACTTACTTAACAAATGTCTCACTTACCAACATAAATGATGGGCTCAATTATGGTTGTGAGTCAATAACTACCTGTATTTACTGCAGAAACTGCCATGATTCACATAACAACCATGGCAAGAATGATCATTAAGAGCCGAGGTGGCGCAGTGGTTAGGGTGCAGTACTGCAGGCCACTTCAGCTGACTGTTATCTTCAGTTCAGCGGTTCTAATCTCACCGGCTCAAGGTTGACTCAGCCTTCCATCCTTCCAAGGTGGGTGAAATGAGGACCTAGATTGTGGGGGGAATATGCTGACTCTGTAAACCGCTTAGAGAGGGCTGAAAACCCTATGAAGCGGTATATAAGTCTAACTGCTATTGCTATCATAAAATGGGGCAAATTCACTCAGAATCCGTCCTGCTTAGCAATGGAAATTTTGGCCTCAATAAGTAGAGGACTATCTGTGTAGACTATCCAGTATAGGTTTTCCTGACAGTTATCACTTTAGCAATTGGAGAAATGATAAAATACTCTAAAAAGTGAGTGAATGCATATTATCCTCTCCTTCCAGAGAAGCTGCAACAAGAAGAAAGTCCAGAAGGATATCAGGATTAGAGAGTAGAGTAGAGTAGAGTAGAGTAGAGTAGAGTAGAACAGAACAGAACAAGTTGGAAGGAACCTTGGAAGTCTTCTAGTCTAACCCCATGCTCAAGCAACAGAAACTTTCCTTAGATCTAATCCCAAGTACTGTTTTTTTAAACCTTTAAAAGTAATGTTTTAATTTTTTTGTTTTGGTTTTAGTCAAGATCCAAATGCTGAAGTGGCATTTGCCAATGAGGTAAACATCTAGATATAGGATGACTTATCTTAGATGGCATAGAATATGTAGGTAGGACCTTCTTGAACCTCAGAACTTTAGCTGTAAAGGAAAATGTCTAAATGTCCTAAAGAGAAAGTGAATTAAGATGTTTTGAACCTTCCTTTAACCATTAGATAGAGACGCTGAAGAGATGTTTACCAACAAGGAGAAGGTCCAGACGGATATCAAGGTTGTAGCTTCAGAGAATGTTTGTTTCAGCTGCGAGGTGGCCCAAGCCAAGACAGACGTCAAGTGGTTCAAGGATGGGAAACTGATCACCTCTAGCAAGAAATTCAAGCTAGAAAAAGATGGTAAATCCCGGTGCCTGGTTATACAACAGGTGGAGAAGAAAGATGCAGGTGAATACACCTGTGAAGCTGATGGCGAGAAACTGAACTTCAAAGTCACAGTTGCAGGTATAAACATTTCAATTTCTTCCATAAATTCCTCCCATATATAGAGATAAAGATGACCAAACTATTATTATTTTTTATTGATCATTCACGTGTGTGTTTCTGTAAACAGATTTTCCTTCTGCAAGGATGTACAGGTAGTCCTTGACTTACATTCATTTAGTGACTATTAAAAGTTAGAACGACACTGAAAAATGCCTGTTTTTACAACCATTGTGGCATTCCCATGATCACGTGATCAAAATTCAGATGCTTGGCAACTGATTCATATTTATGAGAGTTGTAGTATCCCAGAGTCATATGATCCCCTTTTGCAATCTTTGGACCAGCAAAATTAATGGGGAAGCCAGAATCACTTAAAACTATGTTACTAACTGAACAACTGCAACGATTCACTTAACAACTGTGCAAGAAAGCTTGTAAAATGGGATAAAATTCACATAAGTGTCTCACTGGGCAACATAAATTTTGGGCTCAATTGTGGGTGTAAGTCAAGGACTACCTGTATTTCTGTTTTATTCTTTCTATTGCATGTAGGTGGACATCTGTTCAGAATTTGAACACAACTGACAGATGGGTAGCCCTAAAAATCATTAGAACAAAAGCTGAATAAGGATTCTGTTAACTTCTAAATCCTACTTTAAATTTCTTTGGTGGCTTTGCCATGTTTTCTATATCATGCTCCAGTAATTGGTCAACAAGGAGAAGATCCAGAAGACCTCAGTGTTAGATTTAATACTTGGAGCAATAATTAAATATGATTACTTTAACCTTTAATAGTTTTTTTTGTCTTGGTCAAGATTTGGAAGCCAATGAGACAAACATCCAGATATAGAGTGACATATATTAGATGGTATAGAATATGTAAGCTGGACTTCTTGAAGCTCAGAATTTTAGCTGTAAATGAATATGACAAAATGTCCTAAAGAGAAAGTGAATTAACAAGTTTTCTCCATTCCTTCCACCATTAGATAGAGAAGCTGAGGAGATGTTTACCAACAGGGAGACGGTCCAGAAGGACATCAAGGCTGTGGCCTCAGAGAATGTCTCTCTCAGCTGTGAGGTGGCCGAGGCCAAGACAGACGTCAAGTGGTTCAAGGATGGAAAACTGATAACCTCCAGCAAGAAATTCAAGGTGGAAACTGAAGGCAGATCCCGGTGCCTGGTTATACAACAGGTGGAGAAGAAAGATGCAGGTGAATATACCTGCGAAGCTGATGGCCAGAAGCTCACCATCAAAGTCACAGTTGCAGGTGCGAACACCATTATATTTTCCTTTACATCTTCCTAAATGTGAAGATAGGGGGTCAAAAAATCTTTTTTTTACTGATTGTCCCATTGACCTCTAAGAGATCAGCTTAAAGTTAGGTCAATGCAAAGATTTGTTTTTAAAAAGACTTTTAAACATCATAGTGTTATAGATCTATTATGCATAGTACATGTAGCTGGGAATCTAGCAGAAGTTGAACCCAGCAGCACAATTTAATAATGTTGGACCCGAAAGGAAATAATAAATATAGCTGAATAAGCTGAACTGTAGCTGGACTATACCTTGATTGCTTGAAAATAATATTTTAATGAAGGAGAAAACATCTCTCCCACTAAAACTGACAGGGAAAGCAAAATCCCAGTCCCTTGTAGCCCTGATGGTGTTATGTAGTTGGGTTATGAAATGTTTGCAAACAAACCACCAAGCTCAGAGAGAGCACCAAATGCCCCACAGTCTTCCTCCTCCTGCTGCTCTCTGCAAACCCCACTCCCTTCTAGCACTGATGATGTTACTTAGATGGGTAATAAAACGTTCACAAGAAAACCACCAAACTCAGAGAGCACCAAGGACCCCACAGAGGACGATGTGTAGAAAGAATAGATGGGATTTACATCTTCTGATGGTCATGATTTTAGTCATTAAGAGAAATGATCTGGGAGAGAAAGTGAATGAGCCTGTATTGGTTGTCCTTTCACGACTAGATAAAGAAGCTGAGGAGATGTTTACCAACAAGGAGAAGATTCAAGAGGACATCAAGACTGTTCCTTCAGAAACTGTCTCTCTCAGCTGTGAGGTGGCCCAGGCCGAAACAGAAGTCAAATGGTTCAAGGATGGGAAACTGATCACTGCCAGCAAGAAAGTCAAGGTAGAAACAGACGGTAGATCCCGGCGTCTGGTCGTCCAACAGGTGGAGAAGAAAGATGCTGGTGAATACACCTGTGAAGCTGATGGCCAAAAAGTTAACTTCAAAGTCACGGTTGCAGGTAGGAAAAGATTTGTCAGCTGCCGTCTCACAGCTGGTCTTCGTAACCATTCAGTGTCAGTTGCCAGGAACTCAAGGACGGAGCAGGATGGGAGGGGGGAGGCTTCACGGGAAACGAAATTTCACTGTCTGTCCAAGATGAGCTTCAAGGTCGGCCAGCTGGGAACTGAACACAGCTGCATACCAAAGCTACCGTTTAGAAGTGACTGTTGTGAAAACATCTAATTTTAATTAATTAGACATGGCCCCCCGCCCCCCCCCCCCCCCCCCCCATGGGAGGCAACAAAAAGAGATAAAAGTTAGACTTGGTGATTTTGATGCATAGGTTTCAGTTCTAGCTACGCGCTACTGTAGTTCACTTGATCTTTAGTAAACTATAACTTTCCCAATACATGGAGTTAAGGATTGTTCTTTCTTAGAGGCTCAAGTTGAGGCAAGTCTGAGAAGAATTTTTGTAGGTCAAGTTTCGACTGTGGCATCTTTGATGC